AGACCTGAAAATGGCTGTCCACCAACGTTTACCATCCAACCTGACAGAACTGGAGAGGATCTGCAAGGAGGAATGGCAGAGGATCCCCAAATGCAGGTGTGAAAAACTTGTTGCATCATTCCCAAAAAGACTCATGGCTGTATTAGCTTAAAAGGGTGCTTCTACTAAATACTGAGCAAAGGGTCTGAATACTTATGACCATGTGATATTTCAGTTTTCCTTTTTTAATAAATCTGCAAAAATGTCCAAAATTGTGTTTTTCTGTCAATATGGGGTGCTGTGTGTACATTAATGAGGAAAAAAAATGAACTTAAATGATTTTAGCATATGGCTGCAATATAACAAAGAGTGAAAAATTTAAGGGGGTCTGAATACTTTCTGTACCCACTGTACATTTTCATTTCTCTAAGTTGAGTTTTTGTGATGACAGCTGAGAACTGCTTTAAGTACAAGCTGTCTTCTCCTCACAGATGATGAGGGCTCAGGCTCTGAAGTTGGGAAGAAGTTCACCAAATGCAGCACGTGTAAATATGGAGCGGAGTGCGATGAAGACTCGGAGGACGTCTGGTGAGTGTAGCAATCGCTGATCTGAGGACCTGAGATCAATGTAGCAATAACAAACCTCCAGAGACGCCCACTTCACTCCTTTAGCCTCTGAAACGTTTCCAGTCCGAGAAGTTTACAAGTCCACTGGTCCATTAACAGCAGTTCAGTGTCATAGAAATGAGTTTCACGTGTCTGAGATGTCGCACTTGGCTTCCTGGCGCCAGGCTCGGGTCCGTTCACATCCACTGAGGTACTGGACATACTGAGACCCGATTGGACTGTAGAGAATGTGAACCTGGTCCGACTCGGTGCCTCAGAACCGAGTCAGACCTGTGAAGACTTTTAAAGTAAATAGTGCATCTGTAGCATGATGAGGGTTAGGAACAGTCTGAGGTCTCGGCGTGTTTCAGCTGCAGTGGCCGTGAGGTTTTATAACATGACACATCATTTTCTTCACAGTGTTCTGACAGAGGTGGAAAACCTCTGGCTCCTGCACTGAGATAGGAAGTCTGTATAATTATATTTCATAATAAAAGACAACTATGGCGTCTGGCGTACATGCTCAGCAAACAGCCGCCTGCTGCATCTGGAGCCAGGACAGTTAGAGGGGAGCTGTGTGGAGCTGAGGGTCGGCCGATGGCGCCCCGTGGTGATTGCTTCCATTGTTAATACAAAACTATTGATCAGTGCAGCTTTAATTAACCTCTGTATCAAGTGTTACAGTGAGGGGATCTGGTGGCTCTGTGCTGAAGGCGGCTTTTTGGGTCCACGTGTCCCCTGAGAGTTAGGAGTCCCTGCAGATCAATGCAGAGTTGTTCTCAATGATCACACGACACCCTCAAAATCAGACAGTTCACACACATAGTGTATTCAAAACAAAATCTAAAACAGCATCACTGTGAGGAAGGTGTCACCTTCACAGAGTGGAAGCCGCACAACCTGTGCATGATAACGAGATGTTTGGGGAAATGAAGACCAGTTTACTTTCTGTGAGCCTGTGAGTCCTGCTTTGAATGCAGAGTGTTCACAAATATTACAAGTTGTTCTTCTGTGTGCAGACTCACTGACTGTGGAAAATGAATGGGCTGTGTGTTCGTTTAGCTGTGTGTGTGTGTGTGTGTGTGTGCATGTGGCTCCGTTAGTGGCTGAGTGCTGATGAGATGCGTGAGACAGCAACGTGTTCGGACTCCTGACATGACTCCTCTCCTCAGGTGCATCTGTAACATTGACTGCGGCGGTCACAACGAAAACCCGGTGTGTGCTACCGATGGAAACTCCTACAACAACCCCTGTCTGGTCCGAGAGGCGTCGTGCATGAAGCAGGAGCAGATCGACGTCAAACACCTGGGCAGGTGCCCTGGTGAGTCAGAGCCCGGTGAAACACAGCAGGTTTACCACATCGCTCTGGATGACAGTGATGAGATTAGAGCTGCTGTGGGCAAAGCTGATCTCATCACCTTAAATCACAGAGTGGCCTGTAATATAGGAAACTGCCTCCTCTGTGCAGACTGACCATAAACCACAGCCCTGCACCCGACAGCAGCTGTCCCTGACTTTCTCCTCAGGCTGTGTTCGGTTTAAGGCTGTTTAAAACCCTCTAAGGAAAAAAAACATCTTGTGGGGCTGCAGAGAATGATCATTTGTATTAACAATTAATCTGCTGATTGTTTTCACAAGTTAATCATTTGGTTAATAACATTTCCAAAAATTGTCAAATGTCCGTCCCACAGCCCAAGGTGTTGTCTTTAAATGTCTTGTTTTGAATTTGCTGTCACAGGAGACACAGAGCAGAAAATATTCACATTTTCGAAGCTGAAGTCAGAAAACTTTGGCATGTTTTCATAGAAATTGTTTCTGGACACAGTCTCAGAGGGAGGAGACGCACACAGGGCGTGTTAGTGTTGGTTTGGATGCACAGGGGATTTACAGACGATAGTCAAACTGCAGGGTCTGTGTGTGATGGCGTCTCTACACCGTCACTCTGCCATCACGCTGTTCACTGGCGTGCATGAGCCATCGGGAGGAGGTGCCACATGCGGCTTTGTGTGTGTGAAGCTCTGACACCGACACATTGCTCAGCCAACAAGGAGTGTGAAATTTAATGACATCCGTGAAAGAAAAGGGGGTTTTGGCTGAGCCGGGCTCCTTCCTGCGGCGCGTCCTGTGGCAGTGAGAGCAGGGACGAGCGTCAGAGCCTGAAACACGAGGCACTCGCTGTCACAGACACTTGATTTGGATATTTTTCCTCATCAGTCATAAACCTAACATAATCTCTGTTAAACTGTTATCCTGTACATATTTTCTGGCACTTTCATGATATTTAGTTTGATTTCTGTGGCGTTGGCTTCAGCTTTCGTCCTCAGACTGCGACCGCAGCGCGTGTCGGCCTCCTCTCTTTGTGTATACACAGATAAATCTGCCTCTATCACTCTTTTATTGAATGGAGATTGGAAAAGCCCATCATCCAGGCCCGTTGAGCTCCAGAAAACGGCCACCATAACCTGGGTGAATTATGAAAGCAGCCCGTTCCTCAGCAGCAAACTGCCCTGTAAATGAAAAGCATTTCATAGAGCCTGAGAGACTCGCTGAACCTCAGAGAGAAACAGGCTCAGTGTGGAGGGTAGGCTCTGCTTTTCCATTCTCAGCTCTGCATTTTAGGGGTGTGAACAAATCTGAACACGTTATTTGGATATATTTGTTCAGCATTCATCACCCTCCCTTCAGAGGAGCCTGGGTGATTGATTCTGTTTGGATGTGTTATATTTTACTGCTGGTGCACCTCTGACTTGAGTTTCTTGTCAGTGTAAATCCATTAAACGTCTCCCTGAAGCCCAGATATTAGTTCCTGCTGTTGCTGTTAAACTCTTCGACCACCGACATGTTGTCAGTGCTGGGGACCGAGGTCATTATTCCACATTAACTTGCTGATGTAGTAAAATACAGGGCTGATGTTGTTTCACCCTCAGTGAGCGCTGCTGACTGCACAACTGTGACCGGTTCATCTCCGCCATAAATCAGCCTCATTATTGAAACCGTGTCTGACAAATTAATGCGTCTAATAGGCAATGTTTCAATTAACCCACAAACCAAGCGCGCAGTGTGTTTCCACGAAGCCAGGCTTCAATTCCACGAGACGTTAATCCACACCGTGCTGCATGTCCGGTTTCAGTCTGGTCAGGCCGCCGCTTCGTGTGTGTGCAGTGTGAATGCAGGTGTCACTGCACAGGCCTGTCAGAAATCAGGTTTACTAGGCTGGAAAAGAAGTGGTCTCAGGAAACCATTGGTCCAACAGCTGGACTTCTTGGAAACAACTAGTTTGCAGGTTGTCGCAGATAAAAACATTTGTTTGTAATTTTTGTTGTTATTCTGAGTATTTGTATGAGTAATGACATGGCCACGTTTCATCCTTATAAAGTAAAGACACCGTCGAGAGAAGAGCTGCCTGAGCTCCTGTGATACTTTTCTCTCAGTCCACTGGGGTTTGAAGACTTCAATACGATCCTCATCTGCAGTCACAGTGTGCAGCCTGGTGCTTTTCAGTCTGTGCCGACACCTGGAGCTGCTCCACTCTCAGCACATCCTCCCAACACCTTCTAAGATTTGATTTATCTTGATAGACTCACCTTGAATCACAACGTGTTGTCGTTCTGGAGACGCTCTGGTCTCGCAGGAGGCGGTGACCCCGCAGGACTGATTTGATTTTTTGTCAGTGGTTATGGCTTTAAGGTGGCCGGAGACCAAGCATCTGATTGGCTTAGGGAGGGGGTGGGTGGGTGTCTAGCACCCTGCGGTGAAGAGCACCTGCCCTCCTGATCTGCCGCCTCCTCTGGGCCTCAGGCCAACGCTTTGATTCACAAACACCAAAAGCCCAGTCGAAGGGTTTGACATCAAGGAAGAAACTGTTCTCACAGCAACGAAATTCAATTATTTTCTCCTTTTGTTAGAAAGAAACTGCGAAACAGGAAGGGTTCGAGCTTTTTCTTTCTCCACTAACTGATTTTAGACTGATTTAGATCATATTTTTGGCAGTTTTGTCTTTATTTTGATATTTAACAGTAGGGGAAGGTGGAGCTGAGAGAGGAGAGAAAAGCGTGATCAGAACCGATGATGTTGCAGTCATCTATCTATCAATCTGTTTGTTGCACTCCTGTGTATTAACAGATATTAATCGACTGCCACAGCAGAGACAGAAATGGCTGATTTTCAGGTCTGTCCATTTACTTTTGGCCACAGTGATTACGATTGTTTATTGTTGACAGCTAAGACTTTTCTTACATCAGCAGATTTCAACTCTGTGTTTTCTTTCCATGCACTGTAGCATTTCCTTCTCTGTGCTTCATATATTCGAACAAATAAGAAAAGCGAGAGCAAACAGTACTGAGAGGGGGGATGTATGAGCGAATGAGGAGGAAGGAGGTAATGGGAGGCAGAGAGAAGTGTGGCGAGAGGAGAACGATGGGTGGATGCTGATGAGGTGGGGGAGGGAGAATGAGCGGGGGAGGCAAAGAGAGAGCTCTGTCAATAATTCTTCATGAAGGGGCATTAAAAATGGATGAGTGTGTTTGTGTTTCAGCTGCTGCAGCTCGTCCTCCTGCAGACAGCACGACGATGTGAAGCCTGTCGACAGAAAACCAGCCACAACAGCAGAGCGGACCCACTGCTCCTGTGTTTGTTTGTTAATCGTCACCCAGCACCTTCACACAATCAGGCTGACCCTTCAGCACCTTGACTCCAACAAACAGCCAGACTCAGACAGCGAACAAACATCCGCACACATCCGGCTCTTCTGTCCTGAAGAGTAAACAACACACTGTCAATAAACCGATTAGAACAGACACTGCAGGAAACGGCATTCAAGACATCACATGTTCAGGGGACAGCACACACCAGCGCCTGGGAGATGAGGCTGAAGCCTGTCCATTATTTCCCTCTGCTCCTGAAAAGTCAGGATTTTCACTGATTTAGACGACGTGACCACTGACTGACTATCTGTTTCCTCCACAGCTGACAAAGAGAAAGTGGGGAAGAAAGACGACAACAGTCCTTTCAAAGTAAACATCTTAGGTAAGTCACATGTTTGGCTTTGGATGAGACTGTGACAACACAACCGGAGTCTTAGTGTGTCTACGTTTGTGCATCATTTCTATCACAGTGGCATCCAGTAAAAAGGCGTCTGAGAAACAGGAGCCTCATAATTAGGCGTGACAGGTTCGTGTGGTGTTAATGAGCCGGACCGGAATCGTTTCAGCACATTGGCTACGAGCTCACCCTGAAGCCCCGCTGGCTTTTGTCCAGGAACCGTTAAATACAACAGAGTTGATTCAGACAAGTCGACTGCACCCTCAACATGTTGACAGAACGAGAGCAGCAGTGTTGGTTTGTGCAGCTCTACTAAAGAGAAGTGTGTGAAGATGCAGATCGTGCCGTGTCCGTTCTGCACTGAAGTCAGACCAACAGTTTTAGCCACAACATGTAAGATACAGCAACTGTGTAGGAGATCCCCCCGCCCAGTGATTTGTAGGCCCCCTGGTGGTCCTCAAAGGCATAGCAGGTGGTCCCTCAAATGTCAAATATGTAGAAAGGTCAAGGTCTCTGTCAGGATTAGAATGGAGCCTGTCCGGTTAGTCCAGCCCACAGCAGGTCCTCAGGACAGTTCTTAGTGGGAATGGTGGTCCCTGGGTCGCAGCTAGTGGAAAACCCCAGGTCTGGACTGGTGCTGATGTTCAGCTCATCACACGGGTGATGGAACCTGACGTTCTCAGGAAGGCTTGTGGCCACATCTTGTCCGGAGGGCAACAGTCTGAGACTTCCAGAGTGCAGTTAGTGATAAAGAAGAGGCAGTGGGTTGGTGCTGAGATCGTCCTCGGTGAACAGATCCAAACATTGATAGTTGAAACATTAAAATTGGAAACATTCTTGAGCATGTGGCACAGCTCTTCTTCTCTAACATTCTTTACAGTTTAAATGGCTCGATGAAAGATCCCTTTTCGTTTTCAGACCAAATCCCCACAATGTATCGTCAAGCCACCTTCACTTTGTGCCAAACAGTGAACTGTCAGTGAAAGCTATTTTTGTGTTACTGTGAGATTCAGTCACTTTAATGAGCTCTGTAGGGTGTTTCTTTATTACTGCAGTGAATTATAGAGAACAGAGCCCGCTCTGTGTGATTGAAGAGTCCCTTAATGTGCAAAGCATTTGTGTTTTATGATTGTTCTGCTCACACGGCCCGGCAGTCGACACGGGGGGCGTTTGCACAGTTTGCCATCGATAATTCAACAAACAATGAAATGAATGTGAAGACATGATTCAGTGCTTTTACTGCACTTTGATGTTCAAGTTACTGATTCTGATTAAATTACAACTGAAAAAACAACAAACAAGTCATTTTTACTTTGGTTTATGGATCATATTGGAACACAGCGTGAGACCCAGATGAATGGAGACATGATTCGTTGTCTGACACCGTCAGTCTGATCAAAACGCATCATACCAGGGTTGTAACTGTGGTAAAACAAGTAGGATGATTCTCACGCATTAACAACATCACAGTCAAACTGTTTCTCATGTTCTGTTTGCTGAATGTCTTCTGTGATTTTCTGTAGCCCCCCCCCCACATCACGATATAAATCACCAACAAAACAAAGATCTAATTTCCTTCCCCCGTGTGCAGCCGCGCTCATCATCCTCTCACAGCTGTTGTTTGTCGTGTTTTTCCCCTCTGACCCATCAGAAACCACAGGTCTGGACCACGGCGACGGGTTCTATGCCGGGATGCCCATCCCCTGCGCTGACAGCTACGCCGGCTTCTGTGTTCACGGGAAGTGTGAGATCAAATACAACATGGCCACCTGCAGGTCTGTCGCTCCTTCTGTTGGCATGTTACTGCTACAGTATCAGAGACGAGACATGTCAGCTTACTATCGGTGTGTGTGTCGCCGCCCGGTGGTGAGAGGGGACTCAGATGCTTCTGTAAAAGTACCAGACAGTAACAATACTGCGATACGAGGAGAAGTCCTGTGTTCGGCACCTTAACTGAAAATACAGTCAGCACAGTGTTTAAGGCTACAGCGCTCATTAGGCCGAACGGCTCCTGTCAGCGTGTTATTGTTTTATATGATGTTTGTGTATTAATATCACTGGTGCATTAATGTGTGCGATACATTTACTGCTGTGGTTGTTCAAGTTTAACTACTTAATACACTGTGCGTACTTTAAAGTGCAGCACTGGCCCATTTTCTATAAGCTCATCGTGTGTAACAGTTCGGTGACTATGCACGTTTTCCAGCTACGCTCAGGCTTTTTAAAGATAACCTGTTTAGTTTAACATGTAAAGGAACAACCAAGGGTTCAGATTGTCAGAAAAAGAAAGGTGTCGGGTAAACATACTGCACTAGAAAGTTAAAGTCTGAAACGCAGCAGGAAATGGTAATACTCATCAAGTACAGTAAAAGTACCTTCATTTTGTACTTAAGAGTATTTGAGTAAATGTACTTTGTTACTCTCCTGTACTAATGACTAGATCATTTCCGGTCGTCCTGAGTATTTTCATCAAATTAACTTTAAGACAAAGACAGGAACTTCAAACCGCTTTGTTTGTTGTAGTAAAGACGTGACTTTGGTTATATGTGGCTTTCAGCCGCCAGCTGTGGTTTGATGTTGGGGTTTAATTTCATCAATAAAACTGAGCTTAGCCTCCATTTGGCACATGATGAGTTTTTAAGTTTAACCAGTTTTCACCTGTTATAATGATGCGTTTTTCCACTGACCCTCCAGGGTTGTTGTTGTTGTTGTTGTTGTTGTAGAGTCGTCCCTGGTGTCGCAGCTCATTGCCTTACACTGGACTAACACAGCATAACTTGGTTGTTTACTGTGCGACTGGAGCGTTTCGGTCGTCTGTGTGCGACGCATCCATCCCTAAAGACCATGTAGCTTGATGTCGATGTTGAGTGTGTTGAAAATGTGGTGGCGGCGCCGGAAACAGAAATGAGCTGTGCATGTGGGTCCCCAACTGAGCTCTGCTATCCCTCAGTCTAGATGAACATGCATTTAAATGCTGTAACAGAATTTTCCAGATTCCAGACGCCACACGACCGGACTCGTGTCTCAGGTGTTTGTGTTTCATGCTGTGTATCCCAGGTGTGACGCAGGCTACAAAGGCCCTCAGTGTGAGGAGCCGCAGGACTTCAACATCCTCTACGTGGTTCCCAGCGGACAGAAGCTGCACTATGTCCTCATCGCCGCCATCATTGGCGCCGTGCAGATCGCCATCATTGTTGCCGTGGTGATGTGCATCACAAGGTGAGGCAGCGTCCACTAGAAACTAAACGTGTTTACCATTTCAAAAGCCATAAATAAACGCCGCTCTGATTTGTACACACAATCAGTTTAAGATGAGTAAACTGGGACTTTGATTTGAAACAGGTCAGAAATGTGTCCGGGGCAAGTTTCTAATGAATGAAGTTCTTAAATTTTATTCAGTATCCAGATATTTAATAGAACTGCACAGTAGTTGGATTTACTGTACTGTCAGTCTGTGTCGAGACAGTGGCTGACTTTTAAAGACTAATGGCTGTAGCTGAGACTGAAAGTCAGCAGTTCCCACTAGAAAGTCCTAAAAGGAAAATGTTTGTCTCCCACTGAGGTAATGAATTCATCTCTCTGTCTCTTTAGGAAATGTCCAAAAAACAACAGGGGTCGCCGGCAAAAACAAAACCTGGGACACTTTTCCTCGGACACTAATTCCAGGATGGTATAGCCGGGTTTGCTGGAGATTCCTTTTGATAAGTTTTTTCTTACGCCGTGGGAAGACCATTTTTAACGGTAGATGAGTGGTGGGAAACCATGAAACGAAGAATGAGTATTTATTTAAGAGGCCTTAGTTTCTCTCCTTTTTGTTTCAGATGGAATTGTTGCGCATTAACTTGCGCAATCATGGTTTTCTTTTTCTTTTCTTTTTTTTTCTTTTTTTTTTTTTTGGGCTGCCAGATCCAGTTCAAGGACCTGCATCAGCAAAAGCCGCCGTCACCGCTGTCTTAGTTACTTTTAGCAGCTTCGTTCCGGGTTGTGTTGAAGGCTTCATGAATTCGGTACCTTTGTTAAACTGGCCAGCGTCTGCCCCTCTGGGATGCATTTGACTTTCCACTATGATGTGCAGCTGATCACCAAATGCAGTTTGCTTTTGTTTTTGTTTGTGTCGTTCGTTGCAGGAGGTGAGAGGGGCCCGGCCAGTGGTACACATGTTTACACATATTCTTTGGTATGAAGTTCCATGTAAAGACTTCACTGTGTCAAAACAAGCTAATAATTTATTATTATTTTCTTCTAAGTAGTTTTTATTTGAGCGTTTATTTTCTGAATTCTACTTCCTGTGTATTTGCATGTCTTGTGAAAACTGTGTACTGTGGTCTAGTTTTAACTTTCTAAACGGAAAAGCTGACGCGTCCATCCCAGTGCCGCCACAGACTGATGGCGGCACGGTTTCAGAAAGTTGGACAGTTGAACGGACAGTGTGGGGGAGGGGGTGTATTCAGTGTTAACGACAGGAATGTGTAATGTCTGAAAAGCTGCTGCTTCTATCCGCACCAGGAAAAACTAACAAGATGGTGTGAACGCCACAAACCACTTTTGATTTGATGAGGAACAGATTCAGGATGATTGTGGGGCGCAGAGGCGGGAATGTTTTTGTATCTCTGTCCATATATTTGAATTCTGAGGACTGTAACATGACTAAGTACAAATCAAGGTCCGTTCTAATTGATGCGATTTCTGTAAATGGGAGAAGTCTGGTTGCCGAGTTGCCTATGAGCAAAGCTTCTTTTTGAATGCAAGGACAAGATTTTCTTATTTTTTGATTTACCTTCTACATTCCAGAGAAACCCAAAATCATCCTCCGAGGAATATTTTATGCATACATTACAGTACAGAAGTCACTTTCGGGCCCCATTTCTTCCTGATGTGATCAGAACCGTCACTTTACATAATATTAGAAAGTTTTAGCGTTGAGCCGGGAAGACGAGCCACACGGCGCCTGTGAGTGTGCACTTCCTGTTATGCGTATTTGTGTGTTTTATATCAAAGTCCCATCATTTCCTTTCAGTTTGAACCGGGTTGTCTCGAACCTGTGCAAGTGCACGTTTCTGATTTTCACACTTAATAATTAATAGAATGAATTTTAATTAGTTTTTCAACAAACCAGTCAGAACAGCCAGTCATGAAACAAACCTTCTATTGGCGTCCACCTGTAACAGCTGTAACCAAGAAGTGACTTGTGTTAATTCTGTTTAAACGAATTCCCTGCACATGATGCTGTAAGCTCTGTGTTTGTGATGTTCAGCTCAGAGAAAGCCGTTCTTCTTCACTTAGTGTTGGTACAGGAGTTGTCAGGTGTCTTCTGCAAACTGCCAGTTACACAGTAACACAACTACATGTACTTGAACAGTGACTAAAATCTGATGTCATTCATTTGCGTTTGTTACAGTGAGTTAAACATTCCTGAATTTGAACAAGAAACGGTCTGAAGGTTCTGAAGTGAGGTGAACACGGGCAAACAGGATTCCCTGGATCAGGACCCAGTGAATTACACATTGACTCTACAGCTGTTCACTCCACATCTCTGTCTAGGATGTAACTGAGGCTGAAAAAAGACACTTCACTGTGTGAAACTGATGCTGATGCAGCTGAGAGGTGGTGAATAATACTGCGTACACTTGTCTGCACAGGAGGTGTTTCAGCCAGGGTTTCCAGTCATCTGTCTCGTCAACATCTGACAGGATGCCATTTTAATCAATACAGCTGTCTAGACAAGCCCGTAATGGTTTATGGTAAGGGCATATCTTTATGCTTCAGATTTGAAGTGTACCTGGCAGGCAGTTGTGTTTTGGGCCAAAATGTGAGTGACCTGCACTCAACACTGTGCCTGAATGCATCCTGTGCATCTGTGCAGCTCTGATCCAGCTGCTCGTACTACACCTGTGGACAAGGTGTAATGGACCGGTCACACCAGCATTCATAATAACTACGACAATGTGGACCGAAATCAGTTCACGGAGTGGAATCACCACGTGTTGAATCCACATGTAGCTTTTATGTACAGTAGAGTTTAGCTTTGACATGTTTGCCTCATCTTGGCATTACATTCACCCAAAGTGACACCTTCACAATGTCTTTGTCCCCGCTTCTGTCCAAACCTCCACAAATTTTAGTTTTTTAAATTAAAACAAAGCAGCAAATCCTGAGCGGTTTGGCATTTTTACATGAAAAATGATCTTTTAATTTTCTGTCCATCGACTAATCAATTAATCAATGTATTATTTTAGCTGTAGTGGAAACATTTGTAAATTACCTGAAGTTGTTGAACTAAGTGTAGTGCGGTAAAAAGTACAGTACTTCCGCCTGAAAGCAGTAGTATAACATAGCACGAAGAGAAAATGGTCAGATCACTGTAGCTCACTGAACAGTTTCCAGCAGTAGAGGAAATGTGTAATTGAGCTGCAGGGGAAGGTCCTGATCCAGCAGCGAGGAGCGACAGGTTTCACGGTCTCGTTGCTTTTCCCTTGTGCTTCTGTCTGCCTGAGCTGGACTGGAGGCCACGCCGAGCTTCAGCATGTCGGTGCGGGGAGGTTTGTCTTCTCTGCGTTCTGTAATTCTTATTCTCTGCCACCACAGTTTTTCTGTAACGTCTTAGTCTACATCTTCAGGTCGTAGGTCAGCGTCCCCAGCCCTCCTCCGCTGAGCAGCGTGTTTCTACTTGTTGTCGACCATCGCAGCCGTGACTTCTCTAAATGTGACTAGAATGTGTTTGACATGTTAATATTCTGCATGTAGACTGTGAGAGGCTGTTTTTGGTCTCTGCTAAAATAAATGAGGAAATGTTTTTTAATGTACACCAGGGTGCAGATTTGTCATTTGAGTGAAATGTTCCTTTTATGTCTGGTGTGTGTGATTTGTGCTTCACTGCTTCTCACACAGCACGTTCCACTTCCTGTGATGGGTTAGTCAAATTTTATTCACAGAAACAACTGAGATGACCTGTGTGATTAGTCACAAGAGACACAACAGACACAAAACGGTTGTTTTACTTCTGCAGGACACTGTCCACTTCTATAAGAAAGCCATTTGTAGTGCTCTGCGAGTCTCGGCCTTGTTAGAAGAAGCAAATGTAAACCTGTAATCTTGAAATACTGTCTACACATTATCTTAATACAACCAGCGTCTCACATATATTACTTTTGTCCTTGTCCCCTCTGCACAGTTTCGATGAGACTGTCCTGTATTAACAACTCAGTGGGTCATTTGTGAGCAAGAGTTCATTATGGTTTGGCGACCCCTGTTAATTATAACAAGCAAAGGAGTACGTCAGGTGACACGTAGAGGCAGTGAGACTGTTCAGGGGGAGGGCGAGCTACACAAAACGCAGGCCTTTCTCTGGGATCGCGGGGATCAAATCCACTGTGTGACGTGTTTTTAAAGTGCTTGATGTTCCTAAATCTAACCAGAACATGAAACCATGGCTGTATCATAATTGTGACAGTCCGTTTATGACCATTTCCATTGTGACAAACATCCATTATGCTGTTGCCACCTCTGTTGTTAATGTTGGTGGAGTTCTTGCAGGTCCACCTGGAGACATGGTGCTGGTGTTTCAGGAGTACAGATTGGAGGACTTCTGGGTTTTAGTACAGTTACAGAAATTGGCTTTAGCTGCATAGTTGGCGTCAAGTCTGAGGTCGCCTCTCTTCAGCTAGCTTCTTTAACTCCGTGCACTGTTTGAGCCTTACTGAAAAAAGGAATGTCTGTCCATATTCTAAAGCCCCATTAGAATAGAAAGTAGACCTTCCTGCCTGTAAATGACAAGGACATGATAGAAATATGACTGAAGGCAGGATTTAAATTGGGCTGCAGCAGGAGCAGTGAGTTCACTGCAGAACATCAGGTCTTTAATGTGGAAGGGGGAGTATATATCCCAACATACCTGCTCCAGACAGGATAAAAATCACTGGGCAGGTAGTGTTAAAATCTACGGAATGGATTTATTCCACTTAATTGGCTGCAGTCCACTGAAGGATCCAGTTTCCAGCAAAGAGCCACTGAGTTTGAACCCATACATTTTCTATGTGGGATTGCTGCTGATGCCAAGAGATGGGATTGGGGGCGTCAAAAAGTAAACGTCATGCCAGTGAGGGTAAAGTTCGCCTACTACACAGTATAAAGTCAAAAATCCGACAACTAAGAAGCAACAGAGCAGTAGGCCAGTAGGTTTAGTGTTTATCTCCTGTCCACCATAGCCACCTATCACAGAGGAGGGGCTTCATAACCGAAGATCTGTCTTAATAAAAACTGCTGGTCTGAAGGACCCAGCAGCAGAGCAGTGGTCACTGCTGCTCCACATAAAAATAAACCAACGTGTGTGCTGTACATTTTTTGCCAGGGGAGGGGTCTCAGACACGCCAGCCCTGGGTAAATATAGAGTTATAGACCAGAGGTCGGGGGTATTCAGGGACAGAAGCAGCTGCTGGCTTCAGTCATGCAGCTCCAAACTACCACGCTGTAAAAAAAACTTCCATCCTGGTCCAAAATTCATTCATGAAGAAATTAGGAAGCGTCTCCCTCACACAGGAAGTATCAGGGTGACATTTTCTGTTTCTGCACATTGTGAATGTGGAAATACATTCAGAGAAAGGGAGCGTGAGGGACCAAGCTTTAAATTAACTACATTTTGTAGTGTTTTACTACTTGCTAGCTAGTTTACACCAAATGTATGAACAGTTGGCACACTGTAGTAATAAACAGTACTAGACAACACAATGATGAAATCTATTTGTGAATGTTTTTCCCCCCATGACAAAGGCATTGTGACAGAACAACAATTAAATAACTAAATATCCATTCAGTATTGTTGACAATGAAGCAGTAGAGAAAAAAGAAGTGACTGAATTGGAGGTTAAAAATAAGAACTTTAATGAAATCTCTGTTGACGCGTCCTGTCTGCGCTGCACATTCCTCTTCATCTCCAGGTCAGTCTTCATCCTTGAAGCCTTTTTCCATTTTAAAGTGAAAGATGATGTCTGAAAGTCCTCAATGTTTTAAGCTCTTCTGTCTGTGCTTTGTCAGACGAGATTTTCCAGGCATCTTCTTTGTCCCAGTCCAGTGTCTCAGGCAAAAGAAACCGATCTCTATCCCAGAACTGGACAGAAGTAGTTTTGGTAGCGTTGACAGCGGCTAACAGTGGAAGTATCTCTTTATTTTTATCATATCCATGTGTGTTTGTGTTCACACATTTTACAACACGTTATTAATAGATGACAAACCAGGTTCTTGACTTTGGTTTCATGCAACCACAGTGACTCGAGTTAATCACCAAATACCAGATATTAATTGAAACATGCAGTCCCCACTCACTACTTAATGCTCTAATTAAAGCAGTCCTTCCCTGCCCTGGCAGTTCAGAGGCATGACTGGTACGATAGTGTCACTGTGACACTCCTCGCACTTTATAAAGAGCTTCGAGTCTCAGACTCCGTCCGTGTTTGGACTCTGCTGCCCAGGAGAAAGTAAAAAGGGCAGAGTTGCAAAGCTTAATCCCCAAACATTCCAGCACTGTGTCATCAGACCACACAACTATGGTCTCTTTGCATCTGTTGCTGCAGAGTCACTCCTAAGCTGCTGTTGATGTACATGCGTCGCAGCTGCCACATGAGCATCTGAACAGAAACGGAAAATTCTGAATTAGTTTATGGGGGTCTAACAAAGCAGGGCAGGACTTGGGTGGGAATTTCCATCCCCTACCTTGCATCTTCCCAGAATGTCTGGGTGTCGCCTTACAGGGAGTTTTTATTTTTAGCAGAGGGAGGTTTGTGTAAGCGTTGCTGACTTTATCGCCTGGCCCCCACCCCAATGAGGGCTCAAGTCACGTTCCCTTTGGATCCTGAAGGCTTTTTTAAAAGGGGTAGGTGGAGTTTCCCCTCTCTTCTGTCCCCAGACCAGACTGTGGGTCACAGTGGTTGGGTGTTCCTGCTAGAATTTCAACAGTCCTCAAAGGAAAACCCACAAGCTGCAACTTTGAAGTTTTGACAGATTTCTGAGCTAGATCTTTAAGACCAAGTGACTAAAACACTGCAATGGATCAGCACAAGAGTCACACGGTGGGTGTCCAGGAGAAGCTGGAGATCGTTGGGGTGGAGGATGAGGCCGGGAACCCCATCAGCGCCTTGACCATCCTGTCTCTGCTGGAGCGCGTGGCGGGTATCATCGATAACGTCCAGTCCTGCCAGCACCGCATGGAGGAGCGTCAGCTGGAGCTGGAGGACAACATCAAGACCATCCAGGGCGACGTCCTGAAGCTGGCCAAGAACCATGCCGACACCAGTTGCACTGTGGACAAGCTCCTGCAGAAGACCCGCAAAGTCAGTGCCAATGTCAAGGAGGTCCGGACACGTGTCGAGAAGCAAAACGTTCGAGTCAAGAAGGTCGAATCCACGCAGGACGAGCTGCTCACACGCAACAAGTTCCGGGTCGTCATCTATCAGGTGAGTACAGGTTAATGCAGTGGGACATGGAACCGTGACCAGTAATAGCTGACAGTGGTTTACATATTCTTTCACCAACTTTATGACAAACCTTTAATGCAGCAAAATTGGTAAAACAACCACAGCAGTCGTCTGTTGATTCATGGTTTCAAATACTCAGAGACCGGGAGGACAAACTGACATGGATGGTGTGTAAAAGGTCACAGGCCACCAGAATTTTTAGTTCAGTGAAAATAGGCAAAGTCACAATAAAGAAACCAGTTTAACCCACCAAAAAAAACCCTCTGGCTTTAGACTCAAATGGTGCTAAATGTGCAATGTCATCAGTGACAAAAGCAAAAATACAGACAACTCTAGTGAAACAAATGGAAAATATGTTTATGCAGGACTCCATCAGTCACAGTGAAAAGCTGACAAACATTGTTTCTGAGCCTCAATCACTAAAAATCAGGCTCTATTTGAGCCAACAAGTGGAGCTAGAGCAGGCCCACTTTGGGCTGTCAGGACCAAGGCCTGCCCACGTTTCCCTTTACGAGGAACTGGAGCATAATTAAGTTAAATAACAAAAATAAAGTAGATTAATTCCCTGAGGCGGGAGAAACTCTGAGCCAAGCAGCATTCAAATGAATTCGATTCATTAAGTGGCGGAGGCAGAGTGAGGGCGAGCAGGGATGTGAGGAAATGAAGGCTGGTTTGAGATCAGACACTTAAGAGCCCTCGATTCTGTAACACTGCAATTTATAGGAAAGCATCGTCGTTACGTTGAGAGGAGACACTGTCCCTTAATCGGGTCGGGTGAAGCACATGAAAACAAGGTGATCACTCATCTGAAACACTCCACTCAACACATTCATTTGGGTGCTTTAGAAACCACCAGACAAAAATTCAGAAAGATTTGCATGAACCAGTCTCCCCCGAGTGGAATAGGAGGAAATGAAGCAAATGAGTCGTCTTGTCTCTAAGTAGACACATGATCCGTCCTTTAAAAGTGCAAAGAGGGAGAACACTTGGAGGCACTTGTGTCGATGGAGGAGACTGTTTCAGAGATGGACAGACTTTATGATTAAACTGGCACACTGTGGGGGTTTCTCTGGAAGCAGACGGTCAGACTGCAGACAGAACAAGGCACGTCTTTGAACTGAGGATTTTTACTTGTGATCAAACATGTTGTACATGGCTGCAGGCTGCGTGGTCTGACAGAAGGAGTGGTGTCGCACATCTGAGCTGTGTGGAGTGTCAGGCAGGAACATAAACTATATGGACAAAAGTATTGGGACGCCTGACTGTTACACCAACAGGGACTTGAATGACATTGCATTCAAATACATGAATGCAGAGTCTGTCTCCTTTGCAGCTATAACAGCTTCCACTCTTCTGGAAAGGCTGTCCACAAGATTTTGGGGTGTTTCTTTGGGAAACCCTAACCCTGTGCCCATTCATTCTGTAGAGCATTTATGAGGTCAGGCACCAATGTTGGAAGAGAAGGCCTGGTTCACAATTGCCCTTCCAGTTCATCCCAAAGGTGTTCAATGGGGTTGAGATCAGGGCTCTGTGCCAGCCAGTCTGGCTCTTCCACACCAAACTCATCCAACCATGTCTTTATGGGCCTTGCTGTGTGCACTGTGGCACAGTCATGCTGGAATAGAAAAGGGGTTTCTGCAAACTGTTTCCACAAAGTTGGAAGCACAGTATTGTCCAACATGTCTTGGTTTGCTGAAGCATTAAGACTGGCCTTCACTGGAAGCCAAGGGGCTTTGCCCAAACCATGACCCTTGACCCTGCTCTGTGACCTTACATGGTCTTCTGCTTTGTGGCTGAGTTGCTGTTGTTCCTAAACGCTTCCACTTTCCAGTAATACCACTTACAGATGACCGTGGAATATCCAGCAGGGATGAAATTTCACAAACCATCTTATTGCAAAAGTGGCATCTATCACAGTACCACGCTTGAAGTCACTGAGCTCTTTACAGCGACCCATTTTGTTTCACAAATGTTTGTAAATAGAGACTGCATGGCCAGGTGCTTGATTTTATACACCTGGGGCAATGGGTCTGATTGATATTCAATAATTAAGATGTGTGTCCCAATACTTTTGTCCATCTAGTGGATTTTACTACACGAGAATTCATTTCTTTAGTTTGTTTACAGATTTGTTGCTAAAGCACTACAAAAAAAGAAATGGTGACCAAAATGAGCAAAGAGGGTTTGTTTTAAAACCTAGTTGATATAAAGTTCACATGTTCTCAAACAGATGTTTTTATTACTTCATTGCTTAATTTGTTCTTATTCTTGTCTCCCATGGTGGGCGAGACTCTCACCATGTCAGTGATAATGTTGTTTTTCAAAATCTAAAATGAGTATAAAGTATATTCATGTATTTCCTATACCTGAGAACATTTCAACTGAAGCAATGTACTTTTGCATAATTTAAGAAGGTTAAAAATAGCTTACAATTTATAAAGTAATGATACACATGCCCCTTAATTTGTACATTTAAAAGGTCCAGTGGTTTGTCACAGGTTTTGAATTACAATTATGACATATTAAGGTGATGAGGTCTTGATAGAGTATCACCAGGGTGTTAATTGGTAAAACCCATTAACATCTATTGCAGCAAAGGCATCCCTGAATTCTCAGTGTCACTTTGAGGAGCTTTAACCTTTTAAAAAGCTCTGAATCCATCCAAATAATCAGTTAATCATGCATTTTCAGCACCCTTTTAGAGACTGGACTACCAGTACTGAACTTTGTAGGTTTTCTACTCATCCCACCAGATGGTTTTAGTTTTTCACAATTTTTCATTCAGTTTTCCCACAAAGTTTGTTTCCTGTCCAGTTGGGAAAACCTTTAAAGTAACACGAAGGCCACTGTAATTGTGCGGTGAGACTTGTTATAAAAACCTACAAACCTTGTCAGTATGATGGACGACTGTCCCGACAGTCCCCGCTTGTTTTTACTTTCAGCTCTGCAGATATACATTCAGCAGTCACTGTTAAATAGAGATGCTGTTCCCGTTAACGCCAGACATCAGAATGGTAACCGGAGCACTAAGTGCTGCTAACAGCTGCCATGGATCCGTGACAGAAGGGCCTATTCTGGGATCCAGCAGGGACACGTTATAAACTGCTGTCAACCAGAATCGGGGTCTGAAATGTAGCATCAGTACACAGAGCGTGTTGACCTGCGACTGCAAGGACCGCCCCTTAAAACACCTGAAACAAAACAATAGACAATGACATTTGATAATAGAAGATGAGGTGATAATTCCAGATAAACAAAAACACATGAATGTAATATAACTAGGGCCTGAACGATGCGTCGACATAATCGATTACATCTGTTTGCATGAAATGGATCAATGCTTCACAAAACCCCATTTATGGCGGCTCCCACTCCCGGGCATGGTGAAATGAGACTTTATCCCAAAAAGCCTGAACCTGATCGTCAAAGTGTGAGAGTTTTTTCAACAGAAACTTAATAAAGTGGTGCTGTGCACCTCTGTAAAACTGAAATAGCCGCCCACAGCAGCAAGAGAAAACATCCTGGGGTGGGTTTCCATTAATGTTATGCTGTAAGCAGCCTCTTGCAGATAAATAACAGAAGTGTGTCCCTTTCTCACATTGTCTTCTTGCTTCCTTTTCTTACATCTCACATGGACAGGACTAAGATGCAAGTGAGGGAAACTCAATAAAGGGAATGGGGACTCACTCTGTTCCCAGCTACAGCACATGAAGTCTCAACACGCCTGTCTTTGTATTTCTACAGGGTGAGGCTTAGTCCAGTCTGGTCCTGGAGGAGGAGGCAGTCGCAGTGTTGAGTTTCCTCATGACAGATGTGCTGTCGGTTATTCTGAGGCCTCCGTTCATCTCCTAATATAGACCTTCAACCGCGGTCATTTAACAGGAAGCAACAAGCGGTTTGTTAGAGACAGTCGACGCCAGCGGCTGAATAATGAAGGCCAGGGCACTGGGCAGTAATAAGAAAAAGATAAATAGCTGCCGGTTTAGTCCCAGGGCCACTCTGCTCAGCAGTTGTTCACAACACCGGACATCGGAGGACAATATGTAATTTTAGACGAGTTAATGGGTTTCAGTTTGTGATATTTCTGCAATGAGAGAAGCCTTACAATGACAAGCTGAGGTGTCTGCAGGCAGAACCAGTCAAAACCAGATGTCAACCAGCTAATGTTGCTATAACACATAACATCCTGTTGTTTTAAGTTCTCATGTACACAGAGCAGATTTTCACCTGTTAATTACTATAGGGCTTTTTTGAAGAATACAGGTTGGTGCTAATTATACGACAGAAGAAGAACTTGTTAGTTGTTAATTAGCCTACCTGCTCAAGTTTATAAGTCACTGGTAACAGAGATCACTGTCCATCAGAGTGAGTTCAGTTTTTGTCTGGTAGAGTGAGGAGTCACCAGTTCTCTGGAAACAACACAAGGCAAAATGGCAGAAAACACCATAACAAGAGTGTGAACAATACTCAGGTCAGTGGTCGGTGCCTTGTCTTCACATAGCTCCTGGGTTACTGGTTGTGAACCGTTGCTGCTGATGGTCGTGATCTCAAGCTTGGCAGCAGAGTCTGGACTTCCTGCCGGCTTCTCTCTGTCCCCTTCATCACCAGCCGAGGATATTAATACGTGCCTAGTCCCTGCCAGTGTCATTATTGTGCCATTCACAGTGTCTGGATGTGCGTTAATGACTCCTCCCTGATTAATGAGTGTGATCATTGCAGATGGCTGCAGCTTCATTCGAATTAATTGGCTTTCACATCCAAAGTCGCCTGTAGGGCGCAGCAGGTGGAGCAGACCTGGTTCCTCCAGCAGCTGAACCATCAAAAACCAACCAGAAACATATGACAACTGATATTATATTAGATTCACTTGAATCTCAGTAGGTTAAAGGTATTTGTGAAAGTGTTTAAAACATAAAAATAACATTAAAGTTATGTTTAAGTAAAGCCATGTTCATCCCATTAGTGTTGTAAAAAGCCACATGTCATGTTGTAACGTTGAGTTTGGTGAAAGTTTATCATTTAAACAAGATGGGCTTCGAACACTACAATTCAAATATACAGGCTGCAGCTCTAGCCCTTCGTAGTGCCAGAATCACATATTATTCATCATTGACAGAGGAAAATAAGAACAAGCCCAAGTTTGTTTTCAGCACTGTAGCTGACAAAGAGCCACAGAGCTGTTGAGCTTAACATTCCCTTAGATCTCAGCAGCAATGACTTCAGGAGCTTCTTTACAAATAAAATCACAACTATTAGAGAAAAAATTAATCAGATTATTCCCACAACTCTCACAGACATGCCATCAAGTACAATGTTTGCCATCAAGTACAATGTTTCTAGAAACATCTGTAAGACCTCAGTTATACTTGGACTGCTTCTCTCCCATCCATGATGGATGTGATTAGACCCGCAGATGTTTGGGCGTAAACCAAAATGGATCATTAGGACCTGTAGTAATAAATGTGCAGATATGGTACTGGTTCCACAAATGCTTTGAGCTGGTGGTGGAGTCAAAGGGAACAACAAATTCCATAGGATTCATCCTCTGGGAACCTTAAAAATCAAAACCAATTGTGATGGCAGTTGACCAAGAGTTGATGAAATATTTCAAGCTAAACCAAAATGGTGTGCGGACCAACACTGGCCCCCGCTGCTAAAAACAGCTGATGTTATTTTTACTGATCAGGTTACAGGTGTTGTTCCTGGCAGCAGCTTCCAGTCTGAGTGAGTCTCACTTACTCCTCATTTGTAAAAATAGAAAAACTTGATCTCATGAAGATGCCAGTGTTTTCAGAGGCAAGAGGATGCAGGTCAGCTCTGAGCGAGAATCTCAAAGGAATATCATGTTTTCTATCTGAACCTCCATCATCTCAATGAGTGTAATTTATCCTAATGGATAGAAGAGACAGTTGAGAGGACAGATATCAGTTTCATCTCTGTGTCCAGCAGACAGAGACCAAGGAATCTGCAAGTCAGTATCAACATTTGCATTTTAGTATCTGATCGGGAGGCGTAAAACTTTCAAGATTGTGACAAGAGAAAAGATTCAGGAGGAAACTGCTGAGATGAAAAGCAAATTAAACATGAAAGGGCTTTAACATTTAGGTAAATCATATTTTGTTCCCTATCTGATCAGTATTATCTCAGGGTTCAACACAGAGATGGGTCGAGGTGTGTCTAGCTGGAATATTGGAAGAAAAATACACACCACTTACAGTAATACACTAACAGGGCATCACACGAATGGAGACAAAGGCTGTTTCTCACGTCTCTTATATGATCACTCCCTGGTCCTCATTGCTCACTTGATTTGGAATGACTTCCAGATTGAATGAGGCTCAAGGACTGAGAAGTGATAAAATAAGGGAATTGGAATTCACCTAACAATGTATATAAGAGATTTGAGAAACAGCTAAAGTATCTGGCTGGCACTGGGTTCTGGCGATGCTGTGGTTCTCAGGGTGTGTTGTGCTGAGCACATAATATACAGTACTATAAATTGTGCCCATCTTTTTCTGCTTTGTAGGGTGAAGCAGAGGTCCCATCAGTGGCTGTCACCAAGTCTCCTAAAGACCCCAGTCTGGAGGGGCTGCAGATCGAGCCCGACTGCTACGATGCCCCCGCCGACCTCTCGTCCGATGAGGAGTATCTGAGCGTGGATGAGGCTGACAGCTCACGAGCCGCTCGCCTCAAGAAATCAGTCGTGAAGAGCACAGAGACCCTGAAGGCTGCCTTCTCCAAGGAGAGCATGAGCAAAACCAAGGCGAACCTGGGCACCAAGTTCCACAACCTGGGCGAGAAGGTCATGCCCCCTGAGCGGCGGGAGAAGATGCACCAGGCCGGTGAGCGGCTGAAGCAGTCTGGTGAGCGGCTGAAGGAGAACATCTCAAAGAAAGCTCCGTCAAAAGAGGCCTTCCACATCAAGCTGAAGAAGGAGAGAGCTGTGGCTGAGGGCCAGGAGGGCGCCGAGGCCGACCCAAAGCTGCCTGCCCAGGCCGAGGAGGCACCAGTGCCCAGCCAGGGAGTCACCTACACTGAGGTCACCATGGAAGCAAAGAGGGAGGTGCCTGTGGAGGAGGTCAGCGCCGTCCGGATAATAGATGATGATTACAGCAAGTAGATCGCACAGGACAGCGCTGACATTAAGAGGAGGAGGGACATTTGTGACCAGGATTTAGAGAGAAGGTCTTTGATTGGTCAACATCGATGATGGTTTGAATGCATTAAAAGGGAAGAAGTTCTTGAACTGGGTGTTGATGCTGAGTGACACCAACAAACATCAGAAGATGGACTGGTTCTTTATTTAATTGGGTTGTGTTTCTCCATGAAATGTTTTTAACAATTATATAATTTAAACCACTGGATCTGACTGAATGTGAGACTCTTTATGCACTAGGACAAATTCAGGTTTAGGATTTTAGATTAAAGGTCCCTGAAGTGACTGCTGAGTTTGACTGATTTGTGAGTCCAGATTTCAGAGATGTGAGATTGTGCAGATTAGGCTGGGGTTTATTTGCATAAGATAGATAGAAGAAAAAAGAAACATGGCAAAGTCCGAGAAAGGATAACAAATGTTGATGCAAAGTTTGTGTCTTGATCTTTCATTTGGATGTACATATAACACTGTACATACTGCCAAAAGCAGGTGGAGAAAGTCTCAGCTGGTTCCTGAGAAGAGAACATAACATTGATTCAATGTCAGACTGGTTTCTGTACAGAGAATAGTAGAAGCAGGAAGAAGTTAGAGTCAACTTAGTGATGCTAGAAAGCTGCATCAGTGAACATTAAAGCTGCACCACACAAAGAAATTTAACCAGAAACTGAATGAGGCAAAATCGGTAAACCATTGATTCATGCCATGTGGGATAAATGGTGAACACAGTTTTATAGCTTTGACCTGTGGCAGTAGGATGGGCCTGACGCTGTGTTCACACTGGCTGCTGTTTTGTTTGACCTGATCCAGTCAATAGTGGCTGTTGTGTCTGTTCCTCCAACATAACACAACAGCTGCTGGAGAGGTTGCTTCACAAGAAATATATGGGTGCTTAGTTGCCCCAGACAGATTTGGTATCTTTGGGATCTCCACTTGAATTTAAATAAAGTTCTGTAGGTTTAATTAAAGTTCTGACAAACAAGACAGTCTTTGGCGAGTGCAGCTTTGGCTGAGCAGTACATTCAGTGATAAAACTAATAAAACTTAGCATGAACGCAGTCCCTGTAGCGAGTAGTGACACAAAGCTTACCTTGATTGTTATTTTACAGCCATGAGAAAGGCTCTAAACACCAATTTAACCATGAATGTAGTGGATTTAAGGCAGTCAGAGACATGGTGTTGGTGGCTTCATAGCTTTTTGTGCACTGCTGCATTCTGGTATCTGAATGTGTTATAATTTTTCCACAGCTGCTGCTTGGTAGTCATCTTTTTTTTTTTTATTTATTCTCCCAGATTAGTGAGCTCACAGCTGTTGTGACAGTAGTTGGTGCTGGAGCTTCAATCATCACATGCGCTTCATATTTTCTGTTGAAGCTTTGCTTATATAGTATTGTCATATACAATAGCAGGCTACAGTGTCTTATTGTGGAAAATGCACTTCCTGTGTAGCTTAATTTCATGACTGTATGTGCCTGTGTTGCTGCTGGTGAGTGAATTTAATGCAGTAGATTGATAGTGTTTGGTTTGAACATCTTTAAAAAGGTTTCATATCTTCTCTTCTTATTTTACACTATTTTTGATTACAGCTCAGTTTCATTATTGTTTTGTCATTTTTACAATTATCTCAGTCCAATTTTAATGCCTGGCACTGAAAGTCAGCCGGTTGAAGACCTGTGTTATTGTTGCGGCCTGTACTGCATATACACAGCACCACACATTAACCACTTTATTTTGTTTTTGTATAAATAAAGTTTCTGTGAAACCTCTGTGAGCCTAGGACACCACCTCATAGTGTTCAAGTGTGATAATCTTTTAGTTCTGCTGGGTACAAACATATAACTGCAGTTTTTCATGACTACAGTACTGGAAGGAGACATTTATCGAGTCTAGCAGTTAAAGCATTGCACAATGACAACATTTCTGACCAAAATCAATTAAGTTTGGTGTAACCAAATTAATAGATTTGCTAACAGAGGCATTTTCTATGTAGTGTTCAGCTAATTAGCACCACTGACTGGTGCCATGTTGCAGTGTATGTGATTCATCATCCAGTTGTCTGTAACTCTGCTCGGTCAGACTGTAGTCAGCTGCACTAACAGGGCACGTTTGTCAGTTCTTGTGAGGATGCAGCTGGTTGAACAAATAAGACTTTTGTTCCAGTTAGCAAATGTACCAACTGGCAATTAGCTGAACAGCTAGGTTGGTGGACTGCTGTCACTGCTATGTGAGCTAGCATGCTCATGGCTAGCTATCCACTGAAAGACTAGCTCATTGGCTACAGTCACTGCCAAAACTGGCAAGAAGAGGTGTGACCAACGCCAAGCTTCCAGCAGCACATTTGCTGTGAGACTTGATGGTGTCACTGGGCACTGATAGTGAGTCATCCTGTTTCATGCATGGATGGACAGCAGGTCACTAGAACTTCTACAATGTGTGTCTTAAAGGCAGAAGTACAGTAGCTGGGATGTGCTAAAGGTTTTTCTCGAGAGTCAGTAAATGAGTAAAATGTTTTTCCAACAGTTTAGTCTCATGTATAACCTCAGATGTGACAATTGTTTTCTTCACTTCAGAGGACTATTTACATTAAGACTCATCTGTCTTATTAAAAACCATTGGCCTATTTTATTTTATTTTTATTTTTGTTTTTTCAAATTGAGGAGCTGGGTATAAAAAATCCACACCCACATGTGACTGTGTTGAATTATTGTTACTTTGTTTTGACATCTTTTTGCTGTGTCTACTTGGTTTCCCATTCATGCCAGTGAGAGATTCAGAACAGTGGTTTTATCCACTTGAATTTTAAATTTACAGTCAAATGAAGTCAGTCTTCAGTTACCACTGAATATCACAGAAGCAGTATCAGTCCATGTAGGAATATAATCATAACTGTAATTATAGTTATTATGACCTTCTGATCCCATGTAATGGTTTTACAGCTTGTGTTTAACAGCAGCAGCGAAGCCTCAGATCATCCCTTGTCTCTGTCTCTATCTACTGCTTTTCTCATCTGTCTGTGGCTCAAATTAAATCACTAACTTGATGTCGTCTCGAGCAAATCGCGATCACTCAACTGAGTCAGCAGAGTCCCGCAGATTCACCTCTCTGTTGGCCTCTGAATGAATTGCCAATCATTCTGCTTCGCCCTGCAGGAAATTTACAGTTTGTCTTGTGTCTGTGTGGCTGGAGGTCACAGCAGCCGTTTGTCAAGTGTGAAGTTATTGTCACTGCAGCAAACACCGGGGTCCTGTTTCCTCAAATAGTCCAATCAGACCATTTGTCTGCAACATAAACCCTGTAAAGATGAAGCAAGAATTCAAAAAAATCCCCCGAGCAACAATTCAGTGAAATTACCTACAGAGTGCAAAAGAGACACATCTGCTGGTCCAGAGCTCTGTTCTGAAAGGAAGCCTGCATCATTTCAATAATACCATGGCTGCTTCTGACTAGGTGTCCTCCACAGTGTGGTCACCTAAACATAGTGCAAATTATAAATAAGATCAGCAGCACTACTTGTGCTTCAGGTTCTGTAAGCTGAGCAGAAACCCTTCTACTTTAGCTGCAGGAGGATGCACACGATGGGCCTCATGCAACATTTTTGTATTATTGTCCAAATTTTTTTTTACTTTTCTCTGTGAAGTTTGAAACCAGAGTCAGTGTCGTGTTAGAGAGTGTTACCAGCCTTTGCATCAGTGACGTGTCCTCTGAGAAGCTGCTCTGTGACAGGAACAGGGAGGGAACTTTCAGGCTACATGAAGTCAGACGCTAACAAACATCTTTGTAAAGCAAAGAGCTCCATGACTAATCTGTGAGGTGTCGTGGGGCCGACAGCTACTGGGATATGAAAGCAGAGAATGTTCCAGCTGCAGCCGGTGATGTTCCACTGTCAGGCGTTAGAACAGAG